AAGTAACTTTTTCTACCATTATAAACAAAAAACAGACAAATAACAATGCATCGGCTGCTAAAAGACCTTTAAGGTTGATTACAATTTTAGCAACAACTAATATTAATTAGGACTCAACTAAATAAATATACATTTGCACCACAAGGTTAGAATGCCTAACATGCTGTACATGTATTTAAAATGCTGTTGTTCTGACACGTCATTGAAAAATGGTATTCCATTTTTGACTTGTATATTTCTCGAAACATTTTTGCTGTGCATATCGAGGCACTATTCATAGATTTTGGACCAAAATCTTATGTCAGTTTGTACTACGATAAATAGACTAGTTATGACAGTTAACACGATTTTCATTTCGGTATTCTTGGTGAACATCTATTACATCCACATATGGGAGAGCTATCCCTGTAATTGGTGTTTTGGAACGAGTAATACAACCAAATCAGACAACGTTATTGAAACTTGGCCTTTCGTACAAATATATAGTAGATTAATCGTACCTTATAAAAACGATGGTCCAGGACCCTTGGAGCAGGCCTTTTGTGAAGTGACTTGCTCTTTTTATACACCTTTTATTTTGAATCTGCAATGGGCAAATTAATCGGAATGTTTGGTAAAACTTTGCACTTAATATTATTTGTATCATAAATTTTAGTCTGATTGGTTTCTAATGTTTCTACATCTTTCAGCGTTTAACGCACTGATTTGTACGACAAATAGCTCTTAGCAGACGCTGTATTGAAGCTACGCGTCTGTCATCTTACCACACCCAAATAGTGACCATAGCGTTGTATGAGTGCTTTATACTTAAGTTTTGTTGCTTTTTACATTAAAATCATAGAAGAAGAAATAAAAATACTTTCATTTAGCTAAATATGGATTACACGTTATAATTTTATTGAGAACTTCTCGCATGTAAAGTGTGTCTTCATAAACAGATACTAATGGATGATCTGATATTAGTTTATGTAATTGAGTTAACAAAAAGAGAGTGTAGTTTGGATTAACAGAAAAACAACAACTTCCATTAAATTATATTACAGCATATATAAGATTGCTTACTGTAAATTTATAATACAGATAACAATATGCCAAAGAAAACAATAACGGAATTTCTTTCATTTTTGTGATAGAAATACAGAAGAAAAACCAAATATTTATAAATTAGTTGTTACCAATTCTGTTGATGCTGAATGAAGGGATTATTCATATAGACAAATTGAAAACAACATCAACACATGAAAGAAGAGAGGATTAACTGAATAATTACGTTTAGATATATTAGTAAGATATGATGTACAATAAACTTTTAGCCAAACGTAAATAACACTTATGAATTATTTTTTCAAATTTTCATAAAAATTACAATTAAAGATCCCTAAACAGCGCAGTTGTTATAGAATCTATCAATTACCCTGGT